ATTTGTGTAATAGTGAATAAAACTGTATATGAGTGTATAAATACATATTTTAGGAATCACATAGTTTTAATATGAAATTACAATCTATTCCTCTTTAGTTTGTAATTACATTAATCCCTTAAAAAGTAACACAAACCGGATACATAATATGTAGCTCGGATACATTAAAGAGTATCTCGGATACATTATAACATAAACCAGATACATAATATGTAGCTCGGATACATTAAAACCTAGCTTGGATACATAATATGTAGCTCGGATACATTAAAAACTAGCTCGAATACATTATAAAATAAACCGGATACATAATATGTAGCTCGGATACATTAAATACTGGCTCGGATACATTAATATGAGCTCGGATACATTAAAGAAATAAGGGATTTTAGAGGTTTTTAGAAATAGAAAGGGATATTGGAAATAAGGGAATAATAAAACGTGTATTTCAGTAATTTTTCCTATAATCTATATATATAGAGAGATTTGTATATTATTATATACTAGATGAATACTCTTGTATATCGAATTATGTTTTGAGCCAAAGATTTGTAAGGTAAGTTTTGAGCTATATTATTATATAGCTATTCGGGGTACATTTTTCCTATTTTATATTGGGCGCTCCTTATGACGCCTCTGAATCTAATCAGAATCATCAATTTTGTGAAAATTTGTATGATTTTTAGTTTATTTGGATTTCATGGTATTCTAAATTCTAATATTGTTAAATAATTCATGGAAGAAAAATAAAAATCTTCCATATGTATTTTTTTTTTAGGAGAAAGTTATTGACTTCTATATATGGGTGTACATGACCGGGTTGGTTTGAGTTTTTTAAATATTAAATCAAATTATTTGTGTAAAATATTTAAATTTATAAATCAAATCAAACTAATAAAATTTGGGTATTTTCGGGTTTTTCAACCTCGGGTTGGTTCGAGTTTTTCAAATATCAAACCAAACAATTTTGTCAAATTTTTAAATCAAACCAAACTAATAAACCTCAGATTTTTTTCAAGTGTTTGGATTTTTCTAGTAAAGTATGCATACTAACATATAATTAACTTGTGCTCCAAATATTTCTCTAGTCCAACCAAAATACAACTATATAAGGTGTTCCTTAAAAAAATAACACAAAATATGAGATGAGTGATGGCACTAAAATATTCAATAAAAAATAATTATGAAATCATCATTTAAAAAAAATATTGCAAAGTCATAATGAAAATGATCATAATTTAAAAGTACTAAATCATGCTAAAATAAGTTTAATAAGTATTACATAAATTTAAATTAGATTATATATTTTAAATGGCTAAACCAATGTAAAGCTAAAGAACAAATATTCAACATTATTGTCATTCTTAGTGTTGAATTAATTTATTTTGTTAGCATAGTATTGATTGATTTCGAATTGAGCTTTATAAAGTTACTAATATCTATGGACTATAACATTTATTAGACCATTCAAAATTTTAAGTCTCAAAAAACTTGAAAAAAATATGTTAAAAGATAAAAATTCTGAAAACTTATAAGTAATATTTAGAAATTACATCAAAGTAAATACTTTTATGTATAAAATAAATTTTTAAAATTACATATATAATGTCGGGTTGGTTTAGTCTCGGGTTGACTTTTTTAGTTAAAACCAAACCAACACAAGTATAGTCCTTTTTTTTTTCAATACCAAACCAAGTCAAACCAAATCATTAGTCGGGTTTTTTTTTCGATTAAGAATTACGATATAATAGCATTTATAATGTATTCCTCAAGCAATGTTTTGGTTAGGGGAAGTTATTTCTCAATATCTTTTTTATTTTATATCAGTCATATATAATTAATTGATCATATCAATTTAATTCATTATGATTTTTTTGTTATTCTCGTTCAATGTTTTGTATCACCTCCAAAAGACAAGCAAACATCAATGATCTGAGTAAAAAAATAAATTCAGATGAAGTATAAATACAAAAAGAGCACTTTAAAATACCCAATTGTTTATGAAAATCTTAAAGTTAGAAGTATGATATTTTCAATAATTGATTCTTAGCCATTTTTAAAAATTTTAATTAGTCAAAATGCAAACACAAATATTCTCGGTGTTGTATTTTCTTTAAAATTGTTCATTATGCATTATAAACATTGTTGTATTATAAATACACAAGTCACATATCATTTGAAAGAGTATTTATTATAAAATGGAGAAAATATCTTTTAAAGAATGTGCATAATTCATTGTGCCAAGTTATATAAAACAAAGAGAAAAGTATTGAAAATCTCACTAAATTCGGTGTGAAATATTAGTTTTATTTCTGAGCTATTGACTGTCTTAAAAATATCCTTTTACTTGACTAACTGAACTTAAATAAACTTTGACGAGAGGGAGTTACTCGGATGGTAAGCACCCCTCACTTCCAACCCGAAGGTTGCGAGTTCGAGTCACCAAGGGAGCAAAAGGAGTGGGAGCTCCTAGGGAGGGATAATTTATTTTTATTTAAAAAAAAAAAAACTTAAATACACTTTTGATTTTACAACATGAGTGAAATAGAACCTTTTATTCTCGCCAAGTTTAAGGGCCCGTTTGGCTATGCGATATGGTATCATGATACCATATCATGATATGGAATCATGAGATGAAATTGAAGTTTTGTTTGGACATGCGATATGTAATTTTTGCGTTGTATATTTTCTTATAAACATAAAAATTCCATAAGTTGTAACTATTAAAATAGCCCCAATTGTTTATTCAGTCATATCAAATAAACAAAAAATTATAAAATCGCATAATAAATTATTACAAAGCTATTTGTTCTCCACTTAAGTAATTGTTTTATCTAACTTTAATTTAATAAAAAAAGGGAAAATAATCAAATATGTCATTGAACTTTCAGAAAAGGCTCATTTATGCCATCCATTAAAAAATTGGCTCATCTTTGCCATTACCGTTTAAGAAAAGGCTCATTCATGCCGAATTATAATTGGCCACGAGTAAAAAATGGTTTTGCAAAGCCATTGTTAAAATGTTTGTTCAGAATTTTAATTTTTTATTATAAAAATAATAATGACGTGGCCGAATTATAATTGGCCACGTGTAAAAAATGGTTTTGCAAAACCACCGTTAAAATGTTTGTTCAGAATTTTGATTTTATGACGGGGCCGAATTATAATAGGCCACGTGTAAAAAATCATTTTTCAAAACCACCGTTAAAAAATAATGGCATGAATGAGCCTTTTCTTAAACGGTAATGGCATAGATGAGCCAAACTTTTAACGGATGGCATAAATGAGCCTTTTCTAAAAGTTCGATGACATATTTGAGCTTTTTCCCTACAAAAAAATTGAACATAAATTGTAGTGTACTACTCTTTAATATAATCCTAGGCCTCCCACATAGTACGAACAATTTCCTCATGTTGAACTTGCATTTCTCGATTATGTGACCGAGAAGACGAACTAACATTGTTACTTTGAGCCATTTGTTGGTCATGAATATCATACGCAACTATATTTTCATGCTCATAGACCATAAATATTTCATTAGTACTTTGATATTCTCACAAATAATTATGTAATATTGCACAAACTATGACAATTTTCACTTGTGTATCAGTATCATAATGGTTCATGCCTTAGTTAAGAATTAGACATTGATTAGTATATAAAAATAAAAAAAATGAAGAACACCGACAATCGACATGGCAGTAAATGACGTTGAGTATTGAAAAAAAATCACTGCTAATGATTTCAATATTTCTTAAACTAATTAAGAACTAAAGATTAACTAGTATTTAAATATTCTGAAATGGAAATAAAGAAATGAATTTAAAAAATCAAAAATCAAATTTTAAAGAATTTCCAATATGGCTATGACGTGGCACTTATGTGGTTCTAATGTGTCAATGACGTGACGCGTGTGTAATACACTTGCCAACTTGAGACTGATATTATATTTTAGGGTGATATTAATTCACTTCAAATATGTTAAGGGGGATAAATAATTATCCGTAAAGTTTAAGTATTAAAGTAAGTTTTCGTACCATGTTCGGGGGGGGGGGGGGGGGGGGGGGGAGGTTTATGTATTTTCCCTCATAAAAAATAATGTTTGTAAGAGTAATAAACTAGTGCTTCCAAGACAATGCAAAGACATAAAATAAATATTATCTCTTTAAACAAAGTTGATAGGAAATATGTAACTAAATACTAATAACTTACACATAAAATATAAATGTGCACTTATCAAGGCTATAAAATAAATTTATTAGTCAACAATCGATTGGTGTGAGTTAAAGTGACTATATGTTGGTGAGAATAATAAATTTTATGTCGGTGAGAATAATAAATTTTAAAAAGTAATGATGTGATTATAAATTTTATTTACATATGAAATAAATTAGTAGATATAAATGTGGGGTTGTTTTAACAAAATATAAACTCGTGAATCAATTTTTGTATTAAAATATCTCAAATCATGATATGGAATTCCCATATAATTTCATATCATGGTTTTTGGAGAATATGAAATCACATCTCATGATACCATATCATGAGATGGAATCAGCGTAAAATCGCATGTCCAAACGCTGATTCCATCTCACGATACCATATCGTGATATGGTATCGCATGGCCAAACGCCTACTAAGTATATCCAACACTTCTCTTGATTTTTTATTAAGAGTAGCATGTCCCTACAAGAGTTTGAGACCACTTGCTATTTCATGTGACAGATTATGAGTATATCTTTGTTTAATTATTGAAGTAGGGAGTGTTTTTAATACCGACAATGATTAAAAGACGAAACGAATAATTTACACCACATTTTATCGCACGTTGCTATTTTATCATTAATAATGGAGGTAGTACACGTGTAGGATATCCGAAGGATCAAGTCACTTGATCCAACGGCTATCACTCTCCCTTGCTCCCTATTTAAGATAAGTATACCTTGACTCAGAACCATAGCAGCTTTCTACTAAGCAAAAAAAAAAAAGAAAAAAAAAATGTTAGCCACTAAGAAAGCTCAGTAAGAAAAATCAGTTAGTGCCTATCTAGCTTCCTCGGATACAGTAGGTCTTATCCATCTTCTTTATATCGTTTTTTCTCCCATAGGGAATCGTCTATACTTTTTTTTTTCAATATTTTATCGTATCATTTTATTTTTTATATTTTTCTTAAATTTCTAAGATAAAAATAATATTTTTTTAGATCTTATGATTTTAAACTAATGATATATATAATGTACCACAATATTCGTTAATCATATGATCTTAAACACGTCATGAGAAAAGTTGAAATTGAAGAGTTAGTCAAAAAAATAAATTTAAACAGAAAGAGTATGATAATTTTGTGAGAAATTCATAGTTAATCATGTTTAATGACAGATCAACGATAAATTATCATAAAATCTTGTTTATATAATATTCACATTAAAATTCTCTAGCAAGTGTTTATAAAATTTATTTGTATTTTATTTACATAATGTTTGTATATATTATGGGTTCTGTCCATTTGCATAGCTGCTGCTGTTTTTTCTTAAGTCTTTGATTAATTCTGTTGATATTATTTTCTTGTTTATTATGGATCACGTACACATGTCTCGACTAGTGTAGAGTTTTTATTTTCATATCTTTAATTTTTATTCTTGCAAGTACTTTTTAGCTTTCTGCACTCATTAATTTTTTATTCTTCTTCTATTTCTCGTATTGGCCCATTAAATTATATATATAAAGCAATGAGATTTTTTTTCCCTTAAAGAAGAAGAAGCTATGCAAGTTTGCCTCGATTTGTAGCACACGAAGAACACATAATTGTTTCATCTGAATGTATATAAAATATATAAAGACTGATTTAGTGGATTTTATATGGACTTACTTATATCTGGTTTGATTAAGCTTTCAAAAATATTTACTTATTTTGAGAAATACATTTTTGTCAAAAATACGGTTAAAAAGTATCAATTTATATTTGATTTATTAATTGATTTGAAAAGTAATTTGCCTAACATTAAAGCAATAATTTGTGTTTACCAACCATAAATTACTGCCTGCCATTGGCAAAAAAAAATAAAATCAAATGGATTAAGTCAAAGAGAAACTTCTACTCTCTAAAAGAATTATTATTTTTTTTAATTTTTTTTTTTTGACCAAACACTCTTCAAAATAAGTATTTTTTCAAAGTTCAATCTAACACGCTAGAGGAGGAAAAAGTTCATGTTGGTTGCCTATTACTCTTCAAAATAAGTATCTAGTGTTTGCGTCACATTATATTAGCTTATTACTCTAATAATTTAGTGATAATTAATAATTTGGGGCCAAACACTAGCTTAAAGAAGACATCAAAAAATAAATTTTGATTTATGAGGTTTGACACTTCAGTATATTCAATAATAATAAGAGAATAAAAAAGAATTGGAAAAGGTAAATAAATGAATAGTAATAAGCAATCAGGTAAAGAAAATACTACTACTTTTATGTTTTTAATTACTTGTCTAATTTTTCTTTTTTATTTATCTCTTTTTACTTGTTCATTTTAATAAATCAAAAAAAGACAAAAAAACTTTATCTATTATATCCTTAATTAATTAGTTTTGAAAAAGATAAAACTTTTTGAAAATTTTAAATTTTTAATTCATCCATTTCATAATTAATAGAGATAAAATTGTAAACTCACTATGTTAATTATTATTTTCTTAAAATGTGTCTTAATTTAAAAAATAGAAAAGTAATTAGCATGATTTTTCTTTTAAAATAAAATATACATATAGTTGGGCCCCACCCTGCTTTTGAACATTGGGTCCATTTGTGCAGAGACTCTTTAGATGCCACTCATGCCACAACATAAATCTAATCTAAAGAATAGACTAAATTATGGAAGTGCATTATTTCAAATCAGATAAATAATCAGTGCTACTATTACTTGCATTCTTATCTTCTTCTTTTTTTGGGGGGTCATTTTACATTTCTACTATTTATCAACTCCAGGAAAGTTTCTCAAGGACTCAACAGAACAATAATGGATCTTAAGCTTGGTTTTTATGTTCTCTCCCTAAATATCCTAATTCAGCTGGTAATTATCACTCTCTTCTCCTCATTCTTAACTACACTTTTTATATAAACTGTAATTAAAATGTTAAGAGCATTTATATTATATGTTGCTCACTTTGGAATCGTTTGGTAAGATGTATAAGAATAGTGTTGAATGTGGTGTATTAGCAATCTAGACATTAGCGATGCTGGTATTAATAATACTTGAGTTAAAGTGTTAAACCCCTTTGCATTATTAATACTATGGATTTTTTCATGTATTAGTTATGCATAACTTAATACTACCAAATAAAGGGTATAACTAAAAATGTACCAAACAAAGTAAAACTAATGCATGCATTATATTTTCTAATGCATTCTTCCTAATGACTTGTAGGTTGCTTATGGAGCAGAAGCTAGGAAAATGGTTGAAGGGAACCTGCAGGGCAAAATATTGAACTCTCCACTTGGTCAAATTGGTGTAACATCATATGGAAATTTGCAAAATACAGACGACACTAAAAATTACTTGATATACAACAACCATGGAGACAACAACCATCAACAAGCCAAAACAGAGAATGCCCAAATTGGTATCACATCATATGGTGATCTGCGGAATGAGGACGACACTGAAAATTACTTGATATACAACAACCATGGAGACAACAACCATCAACAAGCCAAAACAGAGAATGCCCAAATTGGTATCACATCATATGGTGATCTGCGGAATGAGGACGACACTCAAAATTACTTGATATACAACAACAAAGGAGACAACAATCATCAACAAGCCAAAACAGAGAATGCCCAAATTGGTGTAACATCATATGGAAATTTGCAAAATACAGACGACACTGAAAATTACTTGATATACAACAACAAAGGAGACAACAATCATCAACAAGTCAAAACAGAGAACGCCCAAATTGGTTTATCATCATATGGTGATCTGCGTAATGAGGACGACACTCAAAATTACTTGATAGACAACAACAAAGGAGACAACAATCATCAACAAGTCAAAACAGAGAACGCCCAAATTGGTTTATCATCATATGGTGATCTGCGGAATGAGGACGACACTCAAAATTACTTGATAGACAACAATCATCAAGAAGCAAAAACAGAGAATGCACATATCCATTCATCATCCCACATTGATCCTTCTTTAAGAGTTTTCTTCCTTATGGACGATCTAAAGCTAAGAAAAGAAATATTTATCTCCTTTCCAAGAAGGGATCTTTCTCCCTCTCCAAAATTCTTGAGCAAGGAAGAAGCTAATTCCATTCCATTTTCACTAAAGGAACTCCCAAACCTCCTTCAACGTTTCTCATTCTCTCGTAACTCTCCAGAGGCGAAAGCTATGGAAGAAACACTGAAAGTATGTGGGATTCCACCTATAAAAGGAGAAACAAAGTACTGTGCCACATCACCAAAGGCAATGATTGATTTTGTTCAAGAAATAATGGGAGAAAAAACAGAAATCAAAGCTCTATCCACAACTCATTTCTCAAATTCAACTCCCCTGCTTCAAAAGTATACTATTTTGGATACTCCAGAAGAAGTAGAAACTCCTAAGATGGTGGCATGTCATACCATGCCTTACGCTTACGCGATTTTCTACTGTCATCACACAGTTAGCAAGAGCAAAGTGTTCAAGGTTTCATTAGGTGGCGAAAATGGTGATAAAGTGGAAGCAATTGCTGTTTGTCACTTGGATACCTCTGAATGGACTCCATCTCACGTATCTTTTCGAGTGCTCGGTATATCATCAGGAACATGCCCAATTTGTCACTTTTTTCCATCAGATAATCTACTCTGGGTTCCAAAATTCGCCATTGCATAAGTGATTTGAAGGAGCACTCTCTCCATGTTATCAGCAGCTTTGTGTGCTACTGTTTGATTACTACCTGTTATTGTGAATTAGTAATATTTTCATGCATCTTTTCTGTACTGTTTCAGTGTGCCTCTTGTTTTGCTCACTTTTCAATGGTGAGATATAAATAAAACTAGTAATATGATTTTCTGGTTGATTCATTGTCATCAAATTTAGACTTCACACAAAAAAAGATTGCAACTCAAAGATGCTGATTGGTTGATTTGTTTGTATATGTTTTAAAAAGGAACTCTGGTTATGTTTAGTAAACTGACAAATCAATGAAATCGAGTCATTTTTTTCTTGATTTGAGAGTTTTCATCCAATTGAGGGTACATGTGACAAGTTTATAGACGGTGACAGTAAAAATAACTCTATTTTAACGATAAAGGCATAGTCAATTAATAAATCAAAGTAGAAGATATTTTTGACCCTTTTCCCTTAACTGATTTACCAAACGATGAGTATTTGCGTACTTAGCCCAAAACAAAAGAGAAATTTCACCAAAAATTGTACGGTCTTTAAAGCCCAATGCCAACAAAATATAAACAAAGCCTAGTCCATCAACCCAAATCCTTTGATCAAATACGCCTCATCCCAATTTGGGTGTGTGGTACCGAGATGCTTTGAAAAATATTTTTCTCAATTTTTTTTTTTTTTTATAGCAAATTTATCACTAGATAGTGTCTAGTGACCTTTTATTAAACATAAAAAATAAAATCATTAGGGATAAGTACAAAGAAGGGGGGTTAGACCTTGCTAATCCTAATCAAGTAGGAAAAAACAAGTTCCTTAAGTGAAACCTCAAGTTCATTGTCTCCACACCCCCAACCCAAACACCCTCACCCCTCTTTTGACCACCCATCCCCACCGCCTCGTGAACCCCAACTCCGCCATCACATTCAACTCATACTATTTTTTTAGATTATATATAAATACTCTTGGATAAAAAAAAAATCTCACTTACTAAATATTAAAAAATTGAATAATAAAGTGCAGTTGTTTTCCTATATATTGTTCACAGAAATGGACCTAAATAAACTTGGATTTTTTAATCTAACAAGTAATCTATTTTCCTGTAAAATGGAGAGGGAGTGTGAAAATTTTATAAATCACATATATAAGACTAATAATTTCAAGTTATGACTGTATAATAAAAATTTCAAGTTGTAACAATAAAAAATTTCAGGTTATAACAGTTTATTAAAAAAAAGTTTTAAAATAATAATAAAAAATGAATTTTAAAAAATAATAAAAAGTAAAAAACAGAATTAGTTGTAGTAATTAATTTGAATACATTAATGATAATTCATAATTGCCATAAATTTAGGAGATTCAAAACAAAATAGGAATATTTGTTTTCCTTTTTTTACTCTAATCAGTTAAAAGTATTTCAAAAATCGGATTTTCTTCTTTTATTAAATTTTTCTCTCTTCTCGATTTTTTTTTTTGTATTTCAAAAATCATATTTTTTTCTTTTGTTTTACATTGTCAAATTCGTTTCTTCGAATATTTATACAGGTTGGATACCAACTTCATACATTTTTATTTTTTTAGTTTTATCTTAGATTATGAAGTAAAAAAAATAACAATCATATATGAATTGGATATCAATTTTATACAAATTGAATATCTGACACTGTTATTTCATGTAATCTAAATTGTTGTTCATTTGGTTTTCAATTAATATCCAAAACTAAAACTGTTTTATGTTGAACCCAATTGGTATGCAGTTTTTATATAACTGGTATCCCGGAATTATAATAGACAATCTGTAATTCATATGTTAAGTTTAACAATGAATATGAATTATTTGGTACTATGTTTTTGAGGTTTTTTTCAAACTAAAGTCCAATAAAAATGTTGATATCCAAATTGTGTGCTGTTAGTATCCAACTTGAGAAAACAGTGCATATTATATATAATTGGAAGAAAACAGTGAATATTATATATCATCCAAAACATAAAACAGTAGGAAAAAATAAATATATATTATCCAAAACTTAAAAAGCTTCTAATACTTAAGAGTCTAAGCTCCAATCAACTATCTCAAATTAGATTTTCGTGGTCTTGGTGTAGGGTAATTGCTGGTATCCGGAGCATGTTCTTTTGCTATGCGGAGTCCACCAAATTTGCTAGCAACAATTTCAGTTACTTCACTCTCACTGATCGCACCATCATCGTTTTTTTTCCGTATTGCCATAAGATTGTGGGGTACCTTTGACGATGATACTTTGCATCGATATCAATGAAATTCATATTAAAAACTTCATTGCTGATATATTCAACAAATAAACATGTGTACATACCACAATCACTGAAACAAAAATGAAAGAAAAATAATTTTAAAAAATAAAGTGAATTAATTTTTATGATGAAATCACTAAAAGATAGAAATACAAACTTTGAACTTGACTCTTGTTGAGGCACATTTGTCAGATGCATGACTTCAAGTATTAAGACAGTTTCATACCAATATTATTCTTGTTTCATACCATATTCATATACATATATTAGTTAGATGACAAACTTCATACAAATATTAAGACAATTTCATACCAATATTATTCTTGTTTCATACCACATTTATATATAAAGATATGAGAGATTTTGAATAAGAACTTCCCTGCTAAAAGGTGTATCAACTTCATACCAAAATTAAATCAGTTTCATACCAATTTTAAAACATACTACATACCACATTCCTAAATCAATATTAAGAGATTTTTCATACCAATATTATTCATGTTTCATTCCACATTAATTCATAGAAAAATGAGAGATTTTGAATGATAACTTTCCTGCTAAAAGGTATACAAAGTTCATACCAAAATTAAATAAGTTTCATACAAATGTTAAACATACTGCATACCACATTCACAAACCAATATTAAGTCAGATTCATACCAATCTTAAACATGCTTCATACCTTTTTTGATAAAAATAATAATCAAATTAATATCAATTCCATGATAGTAACTATACATATGTATGCTTATGTCACAACAATTTCCTGTCAAACATCAAAACAAAATTCATGCCACAAATAATATGCAAAAATAAACTGTTATAACAAAAATTCTACTAAATTTAATAATTGGAAAATAAATAAAATAAAATATTTACCCTAACCACTTTTTTGCCCCTTTTGATATTGAGATTTCTGAAGCCTTCTTCATTGTTGCTCTTCTTTTGGAGGGTTTTGATGACTGAGCCATTTCTACATTTGTTGATTTTTTTATTTTTTTGATATTTTTCTCGCTTACAAAATTTGAGTCCGAATCAGAAGGGAGTTCCACCCTTTTCCCCTTCCTCTTTTGTCCCTTCTGATTTGAAGGACTTTCAATTTTCTTTTCTTGAGTTTTCTTCTCCTTTTTTGTAATTTGCTTTTGCTTGAGTTTTCTTCTTCTTTCCTGTAATCTGCTTCTTATTTTGAGAAGTACTAACCTTTTTCGCTGGAGTTGCATTTTTGTTATGCGGTGGCGTTTGAGTCAATATGTTAAACGTCGGAGGCTCTATTCCAATCGTAGAACTCGCTTCTACTAATATGAGACTTTTTCTAGAAGTATGTTATGATTTTTGATATATTTTAACGAAAATCTTGAAAACTTGATTCTTAGTATTGTGAAATCGCCCTTTCTTTCTGATTATAGACGGAATATTTTCTTATTTAGGAGGTGATATTGAGATGTAGAAAAGATTTGAATGGAATATGATTGATGAGGTGAAAAAGGAATGGGTAGTTGTTACAATTTTACTTTTTGAACGTGGGGGTGGTGGGTTACTGACTAGAAGAGGCGTGGTGACATTAGGGGTGTGGGTTTGACATGTAAAAGTAAAAAAGGAACAAGAATCAAGGTAAATTTTCTATAAATGTGTAAGAGATAATTATGGTAGATTATTTATTTATATCATTTAATAAAATATATAAAATTATAAAATACTATTTATTTAATAAAGTAAGATTTTAATTGATTTTTAAATAAAATGTGATCTGTTATAACCCGTAATTAAACCGTTATAAGTAAGAAGATTTTAAAAGTAGCTTTAAAACCTGTAATATTGTCTCTTAAATATATGTGTGGGGTATTTTTCCTTTAAAAGTTTATAGGTTCACATTCGTAATTTATCATTATCGTCAGATTTACTGGATTCAGAATTTATTATTTACATAAGTATATTTTAACACATACAAAGTGTATGTCAAAACGTCACTTGATAGAGTGTATACGAATAATAATAGTTACAGTAAATTAGTAATGCTTGCATATATTAATAATGCACAGTGACGAATCCAAATTTTTTATATTATGGGTGCTCAATTTTTTTTAACTAAAAAATTACTATATAGTATGGTGCTTAATTAATACATTTCTATTAAATATTAAATTTTATACATAAATAGTAAAGTTTGTCATAAAAGACAGTAGTAGTGGGTGCTTAAGAACCCATTATGCACAAGGTAGGTTTGCTACTGACAATGCATGTATTAGTTATGCTTGCATTAATTATATATATATATTTTTTTGCATTATTTGATTTGACGCATTAAAAATAACATTGCATAAAAAAATTTATTTACAAAGATACCCTTCACTATTATGGTAGAAAAGATGTAAAAAAAGATTTTGATGGACAATTGAGTCTTTAACCATGAAATGCATGCATTAAAACCATTGTGTTGCTAATACATAGAAACCCATTATATATTAGCAATACACACCAAACCATTGTGTTGCTAATACATAGAAACCCATTATATTAGCAATACACACCTTAACACACAATAACGTATTACTTATACAGAGATTAGAAAAGAGTATCAATAATACACAAGACTAATATATACATTATTTTTTCTAATACACTCTACCAAACGACGAGTTCATTGAATACTTCAATATGATATTAATAATGGAGGGAGTACACGTGTTTGATATCCGAAGGATCAAGTCACTTGATCACCGGCAATTTAGATTTGATCCCTTTTTAAGAGTGGATATAATATAAAAAGAAAAATGCTCGATTAATTAATTCGGATTCATGGGCCAGAACACGTTTATCTCACATATGCAATTGTCAGCCATGTCTCTCCCTCCTCTCTCCAATTTCTTTTTTTTTTTATCCCTTCCTAGGAGCTCCAACTTTTTTCTACTTTTTTGGTGATTCGAACTCGCAATTTTTGAGTTGGAAGTGAGGGGTGCTTACCATCTGAGCAACTCCCTCTCGTCCTCCAAATGTTTATTACTCCGTCCATTTTTTTTTTATAAAAATAGCTTAGTTTCACTTAACACAAATTTAAGAAAATAAAAAAAGATATTTTAATTTTAATCTTGTGGCCGTAAATATATCACATGAAAAATTGAAAATTAAATTGTTACCAAAAAATGAAAAGGTTCGTTCTTTCTTTGATACTATTTAAAAAGGAAAGAAGGTTATTCTTTTTTAAACGAAACAAGTATTAATAATTTGTCATGACTAATTAATGAATAATAATAATAATAATAATAAATATTAGTACTGTTAATTAATATTGGTATTTGGTGATATTAATGGGTAAGAAGACACATCATGTATTTATTTAGTTGAAATATAAATAGTATGTGCGTAATTTTTTTTTAATGGAAAACAATTGCCACGACGTGTTAATTTAAATATTTTCATTGGTGTGTTACACGTCGAATCTCTTAATTTTGGTCTTATATGTTGGTTTCACTTGTAAATATATGTTTTCATTGGCCTCTCTAACTTTGTATGATTAGTTAGCTTAATTCGCTCCTCCTTTTTAATCTCTAAAGCCTTTTGCATGCTTAATTCATTTTTGAACTCTAACTATAGTTTGGTGAACTTGAAATTAACGATATAGATTAAAAGGTTGTTCGTCAGCTTGAAAATTAAGTCACTTATAATAGGGTAAAGTTGATGTTTAGTTGATTGCTTCTCTTCAACCTGCTCATATTTTATTTAAGTTTCTATATTTTTGTCTTTGATGACCATGATTCACGTGATAATGCAAAGGACAAGTATCACTATATAAACAACTAATGAATTTAAAATCATTTTGTACCAATAAACGTTTTGAGGTGACTTTTAAGGATAGACTTTTCTAAGATCGAGGTTTATGTATTTGGCTAGAAATAATATGTTGCTGTTGTTACAGATATTATCAAAATCTTGCTTAAAATGTTTAGTTTTGAATTTTATGAAAATTTCAAATACATTTCTGTCCTTTCGGGCTAACCCTTCATGCATATGTTGAGGCAAATATATATGTCCCTCTCTAACGCGATTCGCGATATATATGGTTTAGAGTAAAATAATTATTTATATTTGCATGCATGATATGTTCTTCATTGGACAATCTTGATAATTGGTTATGACATTATTCAGAAATTTGTTGATATGGTCAGAGGCGGATTCAGGATTTCGAGTCTCTGGGTGCCAAGTAGGTTCATCGGTTAACTCAATTTTAGGCTTCAGTTGAATTATTCGTCTTATCGGTCTATGACAAATATGAACAATAACAAGATGACAATTTATGTATTGTTATACTACAAATTCTTTGCGCATGGGTCATGCTAATCTTCTCCGCATTGTTTCAATTTTATCAGACGTCTCCAACGAAGCAAAAGTTTATTGTTTTAATTTAGATGCTCTTGTTGAAAGTCGAATTCAAGACCGACAACGGAAGATTTTTTCTCACATGGAAAAAATCACTTTAGTTCAATTGGTTGACTATTTGAACTCTCACTTTACAATTTTCCCTTCCCTTCCCTACCTCCATATATAAATACAAATTTGCACCCCACATTTGGTTGAGATCATAAAGTAAACAAAGTTAAAACTTTCAATTATACTATAAATATCATAAATATTCATCATTCATTTATAATTGTACTCGACAAGTTTTCATATTTTGAAAACGATAAATGACGATATCATTGCTTATATTTACAAATAGATCACGTTTTATGTAACATGCTAGTCAAATATACTTATAAATTACTACTCCATATTAAGACAACTATTAGAAACAAGCAAAAAAAATAATGTGCCGCGGTCATATTAAGGAAGTAAGTTAAAATTGAAAATTAAAAAAGTGCCAGTGCCTCAACGAGCAAGTTAAAATTGCAAATTAAAAAACTGTCAGGGCCTCAGCGAGATTCGACCTCATGACCTCCGTTTTAGAATATGACCCTTAGCCAGCCGCGCCACAAGGCCTTTTGGTTCCCTGGGTGGCACGTTTAATATTTGTAATTATATTATAGATATATATCTATATATACTAGAGTTTCCGTCGAAGCCCGTGGGTGGCGTGGCACCCCTACTAACCTTAGTAGATGCGCCCCTGGATACGGTACAGACTATATTAAATTGTCACTTGCCACAACAGTCCATCTAAGAATAGACTAAAATATGCAAGTGACTGCATTATTTCCAATCAGATCAATAAACAGTGCCATCTTGATTGTCCAAATATTTCCATTATTCAATTTATTTATTTATTTTTGTGTGTGGGGCAGGGGTGTGCATCAGTCAGTTTAATTTTATATTTTATGTATTATTGGTTTTCAATTTATAAATACACTATATCAATAAGATATTTTTTATCATTTTTTTATCCTTAATGTTTCGATTTCTGTTTAACCAATAAGAAAATGCACATAAAATAATCATATTACTTCTCCAACAATTTGGCGCGACTATACAAAAGTGCAACACAAATAAAAGAATTAGGACAATAATGTGAATTGAAAGCTAAAGGACAAAAGTAGTAACCATAAGGTATTGATATTACTATTTATGTATGAGTAGAGTACTAAATTACTATTGTCTATTTGGGATTATCGATTTACTCAATAATCCAATATTAAAAAAATCAAAGATTGAACCAATAACCAAATAAATTTTTTAATAAAATCATTAAAAATCCATTAACCCAATAACAGTTCGATTTATTGGTTGATTCAATTTTTGCACAGCGGGGGTCATTTTATATCTCTGCTATTTATATATCTAAACTTCAGGAAAGTTTGTGAAGGACTCAAAAGGAAAACAAATGGATCTTAAGCTTGGTTTTTGTATTCTCTCCCTAATTCTGCTGGTAAATTTCACTCTACTTTCGTCAGTCTTAATAGTATTATTATTAATGGTTTGTTCAATATTGGTACTATTTATACAAAGTTTTGATTTAAATGTATGATGTTGGCAGGTTGCTTATGGGACAGAAGCTAGGAAAATGGTTCAAGGGAACCTAGAGGGCAAAAGATTGAACTTCCCAATTCCAGATGAAGATGTCCAAAAGACTAATGTCTATTTTTGGATTTATGATAACCAAGGAGAAAATGGTTATCACAAAACAGTAGAGGACGTCCAAGTTCAAGTTCATCCATCATCAAATAACAAGAATCTTGAAAATAAGGATGACACTTATTTCTGGATATACAATAACCAAGGTGGAAATTCTCAGCAGGGCAATCACAAAATCAAGAAAGAGAATGCCGGAGTTCAATTATCATCAAACAACATTGATCATGAAAACAAGGTTGATAATCACAATTGGATATACAATAACCAAGGAGAAAATGTTCACAAGCTGCAAGCGAAAACAGAGAATTCACATCTTTGGATTAACGAGAAACAAGGAGAAAATAAGCATCATCAAGCAAAAAGGGAGAAGGAACATATCCATTCATCATCCCATATGGATCATATAGATCCTTCTCTGAGAGTTTTCTTCCTTATAGATGATCTAAAGATAGGGAAAACAATAACTGTTTCCTTCCCAAGAAGGGATCTTTCTTCTTCTCCGAGTTTCTTGCCCAAAGAAGAAGCTGATTCCATTCCATTTACTCAAAAGGAACTCCCAAACATCCTTCAACGTTTCTCATTCTCTCGAAACTCTCCACAGGGGAAAGCCATGGAAGACACACTAAGAGAATGTGAGGCTCCACATATAAAGGGAGAGACAAAGTACTGTGCCACATCCGCGGAGGCAATGCTTGATTTTGTTCAAGGAATCATGGGAGAAAAAATCCAATTCAAAGCTCTGTCCACAACTCATTTCTCAAACTCAACTCCCCCACTTCAAGAGTATACAATTTTGGATGCTCCACAAGAAGTAGAAACTCCTAAGATGGTGGCATGTCATACCATGCCTTACGCTTACGCGATTTTCTACTGTCATTACACAATTAGCAAGAGCAAAGTGTTTAAGGTTTCATTAGGGGGTGAAAATGGTGATAGAGTGGAAGCAATTGCTGTTTGTCATTTGGATACCTCTGAGTGGAGTCCATCTCATGCATCTTTCCAATTGCTTGGTATATTACCAGGAACATACCCTATCTGTCACTTTTTTCCATCAGATAATCTAGTGTGGGTTCCAAAAATCGCCACTGCACAAGTGATTTGAAAGAGCAGTCTCTCCATGTTGATAGCAGCTCTTGTTGGCTTCTGTTTTACTACTACCTGTTATTGCATGTATGTTTACTAGTAATATTTTCATGTATCTTTTCTGTAGTGTTTCAGTGTACCTCTTGTTTACCTTCCTTTCCTGTGGTGAGATCCAAATTAAATAAAACAGTACGATTTTCTGCTAATGGAACTTCCACAGTTGATTTGTAGTCGTAGAATTTGGAGTTCACACAAAAACGATTGCAACTCAAAAGTGCTGCTTAGAAATATTAAAGAACCTGTTACTAAATGCAAGAAGAAAGCATTGTACTAATAGACATCAGTATGTCAAGATACTACAATGAATATAGATTATTTTATGTTTCGATTGCAATTCAAAGTAAAATTACAGGATGTAATATACTGCTAATGAATAATAATGATGGTGAACGACCAACACGCAGATAGTAGAGCATTCAATTAAAGAAAGGGAAATTATAATTATGCATTGCAATGTGTCCAAAATTTAAGTTACACGTGGATTATTGGATTCAAATCCAGAAGCAATGTCCTATATAACATGATTTACCGATAACCTTCTATTAACAGGCAGAACAAAGCTATAACAGAGAGAGAATAATCATAAAAGAACTCAAATAAGAATTTTAACAAGCTTCAATACTTTTCTACAATGATTCTTGTTTTCTCAATAGTCTCTCTCTACAAGGGAGACACAAAGCATTGTGCCACATCCTCACAGGCAATGCATGATTTTGTGCAAGAAATCATGAGGAGAAAAACTCCAAATCAAAGCTCGGTCCACAACTCATGTTTCACACTCAACTCCCTGCTAGAAAAAGTATACTCAAGGTTTCATTAGGTGGTGAAAGAGTGAGAGCAGTTGCAGTTTGTCATTTGGATATCTCTGAAAGGATTCCATCTCGTGTAACTTTCTGAGTGCTCGGTATATTGCCAGGAACATCCCCTATCTGTCACTTTATTCCATTGGATAATCTAGTGAGGATTCCAAAAATAACCACTGCACAAGTGCTTTGAAGGAAGAGTCTCTCCATGTTGGCAGTAGCTTTTACTTCACTAGTGCCTTATCTGTTAATATATTTATGTATCTTTTCCTGTTTTTTCTAGCTGGTGTTAATAAAACAATAATGTGGTTTGTTGTCATAAAGTTTAAAGAGTTTTTACAGAACACAGATTGCAAACTTAAAAAGTGTGGATTGAAAACATAAACATACCTCTTTCAACTGCTGCAAAACCTCAGCACGAGTTCAACCAGCAGCGAGCAATCCAAGGACATCAGCACTGCCTTCACTTCTTTTTTGATCTCGGTTAGGGACAAAACACTGATGTGGGCTTATCAAATAAGTATTAATAAGTTTATGGTCATCCTGAAAAGCATCTTTTAAAATTGTAGGTGTATGCAAATCATCAGCAAGGTTTGTTTCCAACTCATTATGCAGCCTGTTGATGCATTCTGGGGCATTATCTAACAACAGGTACAGCCACCCCATTTAGTACTGTTGATGATGGCAAGGCTCAAGGCCCGTTCACAATCATGTAAGGTCTGATAAATGTAGAACACAGATTCTGAAGCATATTCTATCTGTGATACTAAGGGCTCGTTTGGTGTGAGGTATAATAACAAATAGTCCCGGGATTAAATTATAGTACCGCTTATTTTGTTGTTTGGTTGGCAAGTTCGGGATAACTTATCCCGGGATTAATAATTAGTACCGGGATAAGTTATCCCTCTCCTTGGGTGGTATAGTAATCCCGGGATAAAATAGGTAAATGACAAAAATGTCTCTTTCAACCCTTTTGTTATATCACTTTTTACATTAATGAAGGGCATTTTTGTAAACAAATAAATTGTTCTTAAAATTTATTATTTTGAATACAACAAACCAAACACTCAATAAAAAATAATCCCAACACAACTTATCCCATCATAACTAATCCCAACATAACTTATTCCAACATAACTTATCCCATCATAACTCATTTTCAAACCAAACGACCCCTAAGTGATTAACAGGAGAGCGATAGTGTGCCCCCAACAAGAAGTGCCTTAATGCAAGGGGATGGTACAATCGAGTAACCTCACGTATAGTGAAAAAGTTCCCTAAAATTTTGATACCTTCTCACCATGTTTGTTAACAAAACCATTATGCATCCAGTAGCTAACATTACTCTCCGGCAAGCAGCGCAATTCTGGGCAATCTCATCCTCATGAGGAAAAATCAAGTCAATTCTACCACCATGTACATCAAAAGAATGTGTTAGATAGTGTGGCGCTCATTGAACTGCATTCAATATGCCAACCCGGTCTTCCAGGACCCCAGGGGCTATCACAACTTGGTTCACCAGCCTTTGCAGCCTTCCACAAGGCAAAATCAGTCGGTTTGTCTTTGTTCTAACCAAACAATGCATAAAAATAATCTATACATAATTAATGCAAGCATAACTAACACATGCATTGCTAATGCAAACATTATTAATACACTCTATTTAGTGTTGTTTTTATATATTCTACCGAATGACCCCTAAGAGATTCCTGGCTAAATTGACCACAACAGGATATCATCTTTTCCATTCTCTTTAGCCCGACCGATTACATTATCATCAATATCAGTGAAATTGGGGATTTAAACAACATCATATTGTAATTATTTCAGGTACCTGTAGAGAATGTCGAAGGCGACATAGGCACGGGACGGGCATGGCCCATATGACTGAAATCTTACGGTGTAACGCCGCAAACATACATCTTCACCTTCCCTGGTTCCGTCGACTGAAAAAGTTCCCCATGTTTCATCATTGTATTGCACAACCGGAATTCCACCTCCTCCGCCATTCCGATCGCCGGCAAATTGTTGCCTGATCGATTTGCTGCTAAGTATGTATTATATGTAGTGGGCGGGAAAAACCATAAATGCTGTAGCATTGCTTTTGGAAATTAGAACTATGAACGAGTTTAGACTTAAAGACTGTACTTTTTTAATTGGTAATGCTAAATGGCGACAAATTTGGTCAAAATTTGGCAAGAAATTTATAAAATTTATAATATTTTTTTTATTTTAAAATAAATTGATTTTTTATCATTTTTTAATTAAAATGTATTAAAGTTAAAAAGGTAAAAATGTTCAAAATGATAAATAACATAGATAAAATACCATTTTGGCCAATTTTTCTGGCCAAAAGAATTTTTCCTTTTTTATTTATATTTATTGCTATTAATTTCCAAATTAGGACGTTCCATTCTTCTATCGGAAAAGGACCAAAAATACCCTTGAACTATTCGAAAAGGTTTAACAATATTCCTCAGTCATCTATTTGGCTAAAAATACACCTCAATCCACCTTTTTGGCCTACTTTTACCCTTAAAACTTAACAGATTTTTTTATTTTTTTATTTTTATTATTATTATTATTATTAGTTATTACATGGCATCTTCCTATTGGATAAAAAAAATCCCCAATTCATCAAAAAAAAACTCCAACCCGCCCCATGGATCTGGTTCCTATCTCTCTGTAATTTATCTGCAAACTAAGAATTCAAAAAAAACTTGTAGCAGATGTTTGACGACCAACTGATCATTAGCATTTCGCACATATACTTACTATAATTTTTATTAATGAGCTAACAACCAATATTACAATCCTCAAAACTCTTAATTCAATTAAAACCTTTTATTATTACTTGCATATCCCTTTCAACTTGCTAATCTCCTCTTCATACCCCATCCCTATATATGTGAACTCCCTATTAATTTGCTTCCTCTACTTTGAAGAAGTAGCTAGCTAGCTAAAAGAGAAGAAAAATAATGATGCATCATTGAAGTGAGAGTATGATGGGTCACTGTTTATGCGGTCAATTTCGCAGTCAAATTGGCACTACTACTACTTCATCTGCACTCTCAATGCTCTTCTCCAATAACCACAGTAATACATTTTATGACTAATCCTTTAAACATGATAATTGCAGAGATTCATGTGTTTAAGAGAGAGAAAGGATCAGATTCATTATTAGGTTTAGTTGGATTTGGGTCATGGGTTGTGGATATGGATCAGAATGGTTTGGAAAAAATTTAATGGGTTGAGGATTTAATTTTATCTAATAGGCAGATGTCATGTAATAAATAATAAAAATAATTAAAAATTTGTTAAGTTTTAAGGGTAAAAGTAGGCCAAAAAGGTGGATTGATGGGTATTTTTAGCCAAATAGATGGATGAGGAGTACTTTTAAACCTTTTCGAATAGTTCAATGGTATTTTTGGCCCTTTTCCGTTCTTCTATTCAAATTTATCAAATTTTGATTGGTTTTTTCAATTTTCGGTTATGAAAAGTGTGCACCGAATTAATTCAATTTGGTTCAATTTTTTAAATTTTGATTTGGCCTGATATTTTTTAAACCGTTCTTTTGATGCGAATAAAAAGTAAAATAAGGACAAAATCAAAGTATAAGTTATGTCTCAAGTGAACATTTATTATGTGCTTAAAAATCACATTTATCTTTGTCAAAAACATTTTACCTCTAAGGGAAACAAAGACAAAAATGAATTCTTTACCTGCCGTATATAAGCAAAAATACAGTTGAATTCCTCTGGAAAATTAATATTTGAAGTTAACTACTATTTATTTATCTATCTATCTATCTATCTATCTATATTACTGTATAAGAAGAGGGAATAGCACACGCCTCTGCATTGACACGTGTGCTTCCCTCAAATTGACCAAAAAAAACATTCACACAATTGCACACGCCTCTGCGTCGACACGTGTGCTTCCCTCAAATTGACCAAAACAAACATTCACACACAATCATAACCGTCCACGTGGCTTTCCTTTTCATTATTGGAAACTCAAATACACCCAATGGGTCCCACATATTATTCTAACCCTACAAAATACATTAAAAACATCATATTATAATGTCCCCATTCACTCATTCCTCTTTGTCCTCTTTCATTACTTTACTACAATATCCGTATTAATATATTTATCTGATTTTAACTTGATATAAAATTCTAAAAGAATATTATTTATAAAATTTGATGATAATAAATTAAAACATTCACGCAATTAAGTCAAAAAGGAGAAAGAGATGGAATAATTGAATACATTGGGCATTTGTAGTCCCCTACAACTACAATTTTGCTAATTAATAAATACTCATTGATTGTATATAAATTAACCTAAGATATCTACATTGGACTTTGTCCATGGTCCCACTTTGGATGTGGGATCACTTTAAGAAACCCACACAAATGGGTCGTTCTATTTCCTTTTTAGTCAGTCGCAAAAGAATGTTACATTCCTTGTTTTTCTTTTAATTTGTTCTATATTTAAAAATTACATAAAAAGTACTTAAAATCACAATGTAATAATATAAGATATTAAAAACAACATAATTAAAAATCATAAAACAAATTTTATTGACTCTTTAATTCCATATTGAAACAAAAGAAGTTTGTTTCAAAATAACATTAAAAGTACTGTAAATTCAAGTAAAATAACAACTAAAAATATTTAAGAATCATATAAGAAATTTAGTTGACTTTCGTAAAAGTACCTACATCGCATAAAATGGAACAGAAAGAGTAATATATATTATTTGAAAATGATATAAGAAGTGTTATAAATCACAATAAATTAACAACTTCAAAATATATTTAACAAAATCACATACAAAAAATTATATAACTCTCCAAATTTCATCAGTGTCACATATATTGAAACAAAGAACTACTCCCAATTTATGTAACTTACTTTCCTTTTTAGTCAGTCCCAAAAGAATGTCACATTTATATATTAAGTAACAATTTCACTATAAAATATTTATTTTACCCTTAATGAAATAATTTACAGTCATAAAAATTTATATAATTCATTTTGGAAAACAAGTTTTAAAAGTTTTCATTTATTTCTTAAACTCCGTGGCGAATCAAACTACCTCACATAAGATGAGACGGAGGAAGTAATATATATTGGGACCGCGCTGGTGCGGGAACCTAATATCTAGTATATATAATATATGAAAAAAGTTATTAGTTATGTTAATCAAGAGTATTTTATTAATAATATTACAGTAAAACCTCACTGAATTAATATAGGTGGGACCATGAAATATTATTATTTTATAAAATTATTATTTAATCGATAAATTAATATTTATTAATTTAAAGAGTGTTTTGTGAAAGCATCATTCATGAACTAGAGTTCATAATTAATGATCCCAGTTATCGCAAAAAATTGATGTCAATAACCTTTTGAATTACTAGGATGAAAGTGATACATGTTCAGAGATACATTATTTAGAAGAAATTGTGGATATCATCGGAAAAAACAATGTTAATGATGAAGTTGAAGATGATGCAACCAGCTACGTGTAATGAAACACTTATCAAATCTAGAATTTTTCACAATTTTATGGTGCAATTCGAAAAGATAATATCGAAAAAAATTTATGCAATAAGAAAAGTTAGAGATGAGTTTCAACTAGATTTAAATTTTAACCAAAAAAAACACACACTATTTAATACTTGTACTTTTAAAGAATTATTAATTTATAATATTGACGGGGTCATATATTTATATTGGGGTTTTTAAAATATATATTATCTTATCGAAATGAGTGATTTTTTTCCATTAGCCCAAGTCGAGACTGAAAGAAAATATTATCTTAAAGAGATTATTAATTACCGAGTATTAATTTAATGAGATTTTACTGTATATATAGAATAATAATTTTTTCTTCATTTCATAAATGTAACAAATAACCCCAATTCTTTGAATTATGTTTTACAATCAAATGAATTATAACTTTATAAGTTACACTTAAGAAAAATACTACTCTTGTGTCTTTTACTTTTATCTGTTTAATTTCTAAACACATTTTAAGAAAATATAATTTTATTCGCATTATTTTTTAAAACTAATTAAGATCAAGCCTTCGGATATCTAAATGTTTGAGAAATAATATCAATGAAAACAGTAATAAACTAAAGTTTATACGCTGATGAGAGATCAGTTTTCTTTCAACGTTCTTATTTATGAACAATTTATTATTTTCGTAATCATGTACGAAAACACACAAAGAAAAAAAATCTTACATAAAATAATGAACAAAAAAGAAAGTTAAACCAACAAATTAAAAGAAACAAAACACATATACGAAATGTATTAAGTAAAATTGCATCTTATAAATATTTAAATAATTATATCTAAGCATAATCAAAAAGATATATTTGAGATACTCATAATAAGTAGTTTGATAAGAAGTCCATTTGAATAGTTGTTGTAGCTTGTTGATACATTTTTCTTTTCACTTTCTGCAAATGATGGAACAAACTCAACAAAGATTATACTTAACAATCAAAGAAAAGATATATTGCTTAGAAATCATAACAATAAACATCCATGCATAAGAAAAACTTAAGAAGAGATCATAGTATCACCTAGAACCATGTATAACCACTAATAAGTTTGTTGATACAATTATTCAATAAAAATAATAATTAGAATTACCTCATCTGATGAAATATAGAATCATGAGTTTTTCACCTAACATATGGGCTTGTTGGAGCTTTGTTCTTAAATTTATACTATCATTTTATTGAGACCCCAGAATTTGAAGAGGTGCAACATTTAATATCTTATAATAAATATTAATTAGTGGGAAGGAGAAAGGGATTGAAATCAGTTTTTCTGGGCAAAAAAATCGTGCAACACTAATGGATACTTTTGGGCAACATTAATGGTGAGTTATTGTTTTTTTTTTTCAAAAGTTAATAGCAAGCAAACAATTACTTTTAGTGGTCATAAATGTTAGTTTTATTTATTTTTTTAATGAGGAAATAATTAAATATAAAGCTATAATTTTTTTTGTATTTTAAAATGAGAAAAAATCTCAGAAAATTACAAAAAAGACAAATAGGATTTGAGGCCTTAGAGAGCGCCACATCATCGATTTTATGTTTTAGCTTTATATATATATGATTTTGTCATTGGCTTGGTGTCATTAAGTTGGATTGATTCTTCTTTTTATTTTTTTATTTAAAGATTAGCCGGCTTCAAGCCAATAAGAAGTCAACAATATATTTTAATCAAATTTATGTCTGGAACTGTTAGGGTACACATTGTTCCAGATTCAATTTATTTTTATTTTTATTTTTATTTTCGAAAATTGTTTGAATATAAATTGTTATAATTTTTTGGATTGTGAAAACTTCCAAAAAATTGTTTTCATAATCTTTTCTTCAAATCATTCAAAAACAATTTTAATTTATATTTATGTTCAAACATAATTTCAATTTTCAAATATCATTTTCAACTTGAAAACAAATACACTTTTCTCCAAATTTCATATTTTTTATGCCCAAACTCCCACTTAGTCATGCAAATAATATATGCGATGACAGTGAAAAAATTACATAATTTCCGAAATAATTTCTAGACATTATCGTTTGATAGATGATTAGAGTTGTGCATGTATTAGTAATATTGCTATTAGTTATGAGGAAATATATGTATTATTTTATGTAAATAACTACTCACTCTGTTCAGCAATAGTTATTCACTATTGACTTTGCACACTTCTTAAGAAACTATAAATAGAATGATAATTTTACTATATCACCCTTTGAATACAATAAATATAATGTCTTGAAAAATGTAATAGGAAAGTGTGTGTAATTAATGATAAGGGTAAATTAAGAACTAAGTGTAAAATTATCCGTTGATTTCATAAAATGGACAAGTATTGTTGAGCATTCCAAAATATTATAGTGGACAATTATTGTTGGACGGAGGGAGTAAATATTAGTTACGCACAATTTAATTATTCCAACATAAAGTGATACATAAATTCCTTTGTGACTTAAACATAGTTAGTTATGTGTGTTTCTAAATTGCAAATTAAACACCGTATTAATCATATATATATATATATAACTTATTTCCCAACCAGCTACTAAACATTATCTATTACTTATATATAGAGAATTTTTCCTTTAATATATCCATAACTCATCTCCAAATCACCTACCAAATAAAAAGAACTACTTAGGCATAGTTACAAATAGCAACTAAACAACATCTAATTAATCAACAAGAAGCTTAAAATTGTAATTAACTAGGTAATTAAGAGAGATACAATTTAAAAAAAAAGAAGACATATAATATAATCAAGCATAATTAATTTCAGGGATCTACAGTTTTTCTCCTTTGAGCTTCTTCTTCTTCTGTTTCTGAAAAATGATCATCCTAAGGAGTAGGCCTGGATCTTTTTGGATATATATCAACATCATTATGATAAATAATAATATTAGCCTTCAAATCAAAATTTCTAACAAATTTGTTCCTTTCTATTGGAAAATCTTGATATTGATCATTAAGAAGGTCCTTGAGTGCTTTAGGCATTGGATCTCCATTCATTTTGCTCTTCCAATATTCTTCTGGACCATCACTAATTACATATCCCAACTGAAAAAAATAATAATTAAACCAAATATAGGAAGACATAAAATTAAGTGAAATTAAATCTGCAAATTATTACTCTATTTGTCCTAATTTATACGGTACAATTTGAATTTCGAGAGTCAAATAATTTAATTTTAATCATGAATTCTGGTATGAAATCTTTAAATTTTTTGAAATAAAAATAACATATTTAAAAAGTACGTAAAAAGTAATTGTTTAAATCTCAAAATTCAAAAAGAGACTGAATGGAATATTAGCGAAGAGGAAGTAGAAGAAGAATTACCAAAGAAAGAGATAGGAGAAGGAAGAAAATAGAGAGAGATCTCATATTGTTGAAACACTCTTTGAGTTTGTAAAATTTGTAGACTTTCTAATGTCTGACTTACTATTTATAGACTCTCCACAATGACCAAATAAAATATGTTTTTACACATATTTAAAAACAGGAAAAGAAATTAAAAGAATATGATGTATAGTTCTTCTGATTTCTTAAGCGGTCAGTTTCTCTTTAAAATTAAGAAATAAATAAAATGGGATGAGAATATAAATGTATTAAAATATATTAAATATCTATAAATTTTACTAAAAATCAATGTAAATTTGTGCTATCAAATTTACTAAATGATTTTTTCATTTATTTTCTGTTAGGCTGACTCGGAAAAATGCAAAGTGAAAAACAAATTCTCACGAGAAACTTCCTAATTTTTTCCTGAAAACATTAATACCTTTTTTACTTTTCTCTCACTGATTCAATCAAAATATTTGTGAGAATTCCACTGAACAAATTTCAATAGAAAAATCAGTGGAGAATTATTATTTTTTGATAGTGAGTTACATTTAAATTTAATTATCATAGATGTTAACTTGAACCCCAATTCATCGATCGCATCTGACCATTACATAATCGACCTTAAAGTCTATGGAGGGTAACAAAATAAGAAGTACTGAGTTTTACACTGGAGACGTGACTTCGCTATTCTTAGGTGATTAATCTTAAAGTCTATGGAGGGTAACAAAATAAGAAGTACTGAGTTTTACACTGGAGACGTGACTTCGCTATTCTTAGGTAATTAACCTTAAAGTCTATGGAGGGTAACAAAATAAGAATTACTGAGTTTTACACTGGAGACGTGACTTCGCTATTCTTAGGTGATTAACGCATCTTAGTGATTTAAATTATTATATGTATTTAGAAGAAAAAAAACTACATAACAATGGAATATTTTTTAGTAAATAACTAATTTTGAAATCTAATTTTTTTAATTCGGTGAATCCAAAAAAAATTACAAACTGCCAAAGTGTAATCACGATAAAAATAATAATAATTAAAAACTGACAAGGTGTAATCACCATAAAAAAACAGAATTTAAAGAAAAAAAACTGCCAAAATTTAAAACTGCTAAAAGTGTAATGACTAGAAAAAAAATTATTTCAAAAAAATAAAGGACAATATTTCAAAATAAAAGAACTAGATATATATTTGAAATTTCTGCTACAAAATAATAAATTTCGAGGCCTATAATTTTTGAATGATCAAGAAGAAGAAAATTAAAACTGCCAAAATGTAATCACCACAAAAATGAATTTTTTTTTATAAAAAAAGCCAAAAAAATATACCAATCGTCAAAGTGTAGTCACCGCGAAAGTCAAAGATCTTAACTTATATATGTATTATAATTGTAATTAAATTAATTATTATTGTATATTAATTTTAAATTAATATAAAAAAAATTAAAGTTTAAATAATTGATCAATCTCTGGTCACTGCATAATCGACCATTTATAAAATCTTAGGAGGACAACAAGATACTATTGAGTTCTACATTGGAGACTATTGAGTTTTAACACATCTTAGTGACTAAAATCAGCATATGACTTAATGCTAGTCTTTAATATTCTCCTTGAAGAAAATAAGAACAGGAGAAAACATAATCGTAAATAAGTTTTTTGTCAAAGAGTATAGGATCGTGAGTCTTTTTGAGCTTGTCGAGTTTCCTCAATATGATTTTTTTAAGTGCTCTATTATATCGTATTTGTTCACTTGTATCGTGCACTAGAATTACATATTCAAATCTACTAGCTATTTATACAATTTTAATAAATTTTCATATATAAATTTATGTTCTGCATTAAAAGTACTAGATTTAAGATGAAATCAATTTCAACGTGTTGAATCCACAATTATTTGAAATATCCGAAATTTACTTGGAGAATTGTCCTCCGAATATGAAATGTTTTTCTAGAAGTTTCTATCTTTTAACTATGATAAAGATTGCACTTATAAATACACTTTTTATTTAATATGATGATACGTTCTGTCTTCTCGCAATTCTTACTTTGAAAAAATAAATTCAAAAGCATCTATCAAAAGATAAGTTCAAGCTCACCGCATAGGAAAAATACATAAAAATTCCCCTGAACTTGGCGCGAGAACTTACTTTAGTACTTAAACTACACGGGTGTTTATATACCCCCTTAACATCTTTTATGTGAATTATTTTCAACCCTTCGAACACCAGCCTTGTGTGCATGTTGTTACAGCTTAGAACGACGTGTTAGTCATCTTTTAACATTTTTTTAAAATTAAATTTGCCCCTCCAACGATAATATCCGACCCATTACCCATTTGAAGAACAATCACTTTTTAAGAGCCCTAATTACCTTTTCTCCCTCACCAACCCAATCATCCAAAAATGGTGACCTAATTTATTATATTTTTCTTAATTTTTCTCAAATCTTAGCTCTTCAAACCTAAAAGTTGAATCTTTGAAGGAATTATTGTTCTTCAAAATGTAAGATTCAAACTTATTCTTCTTCATCTATTATTTTGATTTTTATTTCCTCACTTTTCGGTTTTTCAAGATTGTCGTTACTTTTTGAACAAAATTGTATCACACTATGCGATCAATTACTTCACGCTAACGAAAGAAAAATCTTGAGATTATGTCTTGTAGATTTGAGAGAATGAGAATCACGCTAAGAGATTTAGGGATATTTGTTTAGAAATGGATCGGGTTGTATTTTAGGAATGGGTGGATTATATAAAACGGGTAAGATATTTTTTAAGCCCTTAGCGACGTGGACCAATGAAAACGCACGTGTGTAACAATGCCCAGCCTTCAACTGGGCTGGTGTTCGGATGGTTGAAAATAATTCACATCAAATATGTTAAGGGAATATATAAACACCCGTGTAGTTTAAGTACTAAAGTAACTTTTCGTGCCAAATTCAAGAGGGTTTTTATTTATTTTCCCCACCGCATATTACATAAACTAGTTAAAGTATTTTTTGTCATGATCATAAGGAACAAAACATGATTGTACCAACAAAAAAAAAATTAAAATAGTCAACGTTTGGGACCCAAAAAATAAAGTTTTAGGCCAATCAACATGAGAAAAAGTACCCATATACTGTCATGCAATTAAATTATTTAGGCCAGGAGTTAAAATGACAGCACATATATGCATAAAATATAGAAAAACAAGATCTATAAACAAACCAATTTGCACTGTAAACCACTTACTTTTCTCACTCTTATTTTTTTCTTCTTTAATGTCGAATCTTGTTATAATATTCTGTCGATTTCATTTTTTTTTTTAATTTTTTTTTCAGGCTATTTATGTATAATTTTTAGTTCCATTTAGTTTCAACTTTTTACGTGATAAGTTTAATATCGTAAGATTAAATGATGTTATTTTATACGTTCCACATATATTTTGCTTAAAATTATAAGATTTAAAAGTATTCGTACTCTTTAAAATTTCATGTCAAATTAAAATCAGACAAACATATTGAAACGAAGTATTTAAGAACAATATGCAAAAAGGAAGGACAGGAATCAAGATCAATAGATTCGATTGACTTTTAGGGAAAATATAATTTGATAAATTAAAGCACCACTATTGAGGGTTAGGCACCAATCCATACTTCTTGTACCCAATACCTTTAATTTGGACTTGTTTTGAGTGACACTAGCTAAAAAAAAAACACTTTTTTTTGTCTCAAGGGATTGAACCTAATCATGTTTAATTACATTTTTTAAGCAGAAAATTTAAATCATAATCTTTTCTATCAGTTGTCATTATTCATTACTAGCAAATAAGAAATGTGACAGCCTCAACAACAACAATGTTCTAATAATATTTAATCATCATTCACCTAAATGACTTTTCACATATGATATTTTTAAAGGACTTGAACCCTTTAGCTAGTCAATCACTCCAATAAAGGATAAAAAAAAGGACTCGTCGATGAATATTGCTTTTTAAGTTTTTGATGCTCATAGAAGGGTTGATTTGGGGATTGGTTATTTGTAGATGACTGAATTGCACAAATATCTGATTTTGGATTTGTTATTAAGCAAAAGTTATGTTTATTCTTTGGCAAGTAAATTCACTCTGGATCACTTTAGTTAAACGAAATTTAAGTTGCGAAAATTTGTGTTTAAAGTTTGACAAACTTCGGAGACATAATTTTCTTGAAGTATTACAAAATGTCATATATCTTTCATTGAAATTATGATCTTGACAAGGCCTAACTTCAGAGTTCAGACTTGTAATAATTTATCACGTCAATTTTAGATATTTTTACTTTTAGCATTTAAAGCTTAACTTCAATCATATAATGATTTGCCAAGGGCAATTGTTATTTTTCCTGAAGTTGTAGTCTTGGTAAGGTTACCATAACTTCGAACATATAATGATGTTGCACTTTTGACATTTTGGTGTGAGGTTAGGCAAAATATTTGGCCGCAGAATTTTAGCATGAAGTTTAGGTGAATGAATTTTTGCCTAAAACAAATAATTTGTTTTTCGAATTTCAACAATTTAATATCCAAATTTATCTCAAATGAGATCAAATTTATAACTGAAAAATTCCATATATCATAAAAAGCAAAATCAAATCATCAATCTATCAAAACAATAATAAATTTAACAAATTAATTTATCAATAATGATGATTTGTCATTATTTTCAAACTTTCCGATAATACCTATTTGATTTAAAATTTACTTTTTAAGACCATTTCTTCAAAATATTATATTTCAATTGTCATAAATTAAAAAAAAATACTAATATATTGTACAATAATTAAGAAGAACAAGGAGGTGGAAAAAATAGCAAAAATTAAATAAATTATCCGGTGAAACTTTTGCAAAAATTGTACTTATCTAGATTTTTTAGTGGAGAAGGTAAGGGTGTTGTCATAGACTAAAGTCAACTATATATGAAGATTTACATGAACGCAAAATAGATAAAGAGTAGCAACACATATCCTCAATTAGATTCTTGCACATAGTTTGACAAATTAAAAAGATTGTAGATATGACATAACAAAAGTCATAGTAGCACATAAAAAGTGAGATAAATAGAAACACGATATAGTGGAATATA